TGAATTTCATTGGCATTTAAAGAAATAATACAAACTCTTCTAGAAAACAGAGGAGTAGAAAAAAACTTCCCTATTCACTCTATGAGGCAAGAATTACCCTGATACCAAAGCCAGACAAAGACATGACAAAGAAACTGGAGACCAATATCCCTCATGACAAAATTCTCAACAGAATATTAGCAGACCAAATCCAGCAATATATAAAAAAAATCATACATCATGATCAAGTATGATTTATCCCAGAAATACAAGCTTGGTTTATCCTTTTTTAAAAGTTAATGTAGTATACTATATTAATAAAAGACAAAAACCTCATGATCATCTCAGCAGACACAGAAAACACATTTACTAAAATCTAATGGCCAATCATAAAAACTATCAATTAACTAGGACTGTATGAGACCTTCTGCAACGTGATAAAAAGCATCTACAAAAAACCTATAGCTAACATCATACTTAATTATGAAAGACTTTCATAATTATGAAAGGTTTCTCTTAAGATCAGGAACAAGGCAAACATGTCTGCTCTCACCACTTTGATTTCACATTGTACTGGAGTTTCTAGCTAGTGCAGTCAGATAAGAAACAGAAAGAAAATGCACCCAGAATGGAAAGGAAGAAGTGAAAAAGCTGTCTTTATGTAAAGACAACACGATCCTGTAGGCATAAAATTCTGAGGAACACACACACACACACACATAGACACACACACACACACACACACACACACACACACACACACACACTCCTACTAGAATAAATGAGCTCAGCTGCATCCCATAATACAAGACTAGTATACAAAAATCTATTGTATTTCTATATACTAACCATGAACATTCCAATAATAAAATTAAGAAAACAATTCATTTGTAATAACATCAAATTAAATAAAATATTTAGGAATAAATTTAACAAAAGTATAATATTAATATTGAAAACGATAAAACATTTCCAAGAGAAATTAAAGAATATCTAAATAAATGAAATAAATGTGAAATTTCATGTTTACAAATTGGAAGACTAAGTAATATTAAGATGGCAATACTGCCTAAGCTGAGATTCAATATAGGTCAATTTGGAGAGAACTGCTATTTTAATCTCTATAGATATCTCAGAAGGCCTACTATTTTTTTTTTTTTTTAACAAAAATTGACAAGCTGACCCTAAAACTTACATGGAAATTCAAAGGACCCCAAATAGACAAAATCATTTTGAAAGTTGGAGGATTTACACTTCCCGCTGTCAAAACTTCTGGCAAAGCTACAATACTTGTGATTGTGTGGTACTGGCATAAGGAGTAACATATAGGTCAATGGAACAGAATTGATTTTTCAACAAAAGTGCCAAGACAATTCAGAGAAGAAAAAGAATAGTTTTCTTAAACATATGGTGCTGGGACAATCAGATATCCACATTTAAAAAGACGAATCTAGACCCTACCACTATACAAAAATGTTAACTCAGAGTAGATTGTAGATCTAATGTAAAACTTAAAACTGTAACACTTTTAGAATAAAATATAAGGGAAAACTTTGTGACTTGGATTGGGCAAGTATTTCTTAGATATGATGTAAAAAGCATGATTCATAAAACTAATGAACAGTACTTTATCAAGATTTATAACTTACTTGCTTCAAAAGACACTATTAAGAAAATGAAAAGACAAGTCACAGACTGGGAGAAAATATATGCAAATCTTATATCTGATAAAGGACATATATCTAATATAGAATTTTTACGACCCAACAAGAGAAATAACCCAATTATAAAATTGGCAAAAGATTTAAATAGACATTTTACTGAAGAATAGATGTGGATGGTCAGTAAGCACACAAAATGATGCTCAACATCATTGGCCACTAGAGAAATGGCAATTAAAACCAGGATGAAATAACTTTTATACACACTGATACACACTGAATATTTCTTTTCAAAGTTAAACATAAATATACCATGTAACTCAGAAATTCTACTCCTAAAAAATGATTCAATAGATATGAAAACATATGTCCCCATGGAGACTTGTATATTCTTTATTCATAATAGCCCTAAACTGGAAGCAATTCAGATGTCCATCAACTGGTGAAATGGTTAAATGAAACGTGGTTTATTCATACAACAGAATACTACTGAGCAATAAAAAAAAAAAAAAACAGAATACCAATATATGCTACAATACAAATCTTGAAAACATTATGCTAAGATAAAAAACCCACATATGAATTTATTTATGTAAAATGTCCAGGTAAATCTGTAAAGACAGAAAGTAGTTTAGCAGCTGCCTGGGGTTGGGCATAGGAATGGAATAACTAAAAACAGGCATTAGGGATTTTTTTGGAGTGAAGGAAATGTTCTAAAGTTGGGTTGTGGCAATGGCTACACAACTCTGTAAACTTAGTAAAAATTATCGAAATATACCTTTCAAATGGGTGAATTTTATGATGTGTAATTATTTTTAAGAAACTGTTAATGATTTAACTTATGTATGGTGGCTGTTACATGGTCCTCAAAAAATGGTAGTATTATACTGTGAGGATGTGCTTTGTCTTCTGAGTTCAGACCTAATGCCTCAGAGGGCTAGGATGGCAAATGCTAACAGCTAGCATGTACTGAGTACTTACTGTGCCAAGCTGTGTGCTATCCACATTATGTACATTACATCCTGTAATCCTCACAAGAATCCTCTGATATAGGTAGTGTTGTTAAGCCTGTTCTACAGATAAGGAAATGGAAGCTATGTTAAGGTCACAGGGCCAAGGCATGAAGAACCTTGTCTCCAACAGGTCTAACTTGTCCCGTTATCTGTAGCACTTTTAAGACCTAAAAATTTCTAGTCTGTTGGAGTGAGTGAGGTGGCTCTGAGGATCTCCTTAGTTCTATGCTTGGCTCTGATGAAAGGCTTCCCTGTTTGAAACCCTGCTTTTGATGTGGAGGTTATAACCAGTATCCATGAAATGGTTTCTGCAGGAAAATGTACTCTGTGCCAAGATAGTAACCGAACAAATCTGCCTCTCCTTCAGGCCCCCTCCACAACTAGGGCAGCTGTTCCATGGCCATCTTTTTGGCCTATGGAGAACAGAAGGGTAAGAGAAGGGAGTGGAGAGGGCAGGCTGGCCTCACTACCTTCTTCCACCATTCAACCAGTACTGCTTGCTTTTTATCTTGATTACAGTATATTGATGTTGGACTTCAGCATATGATTCCTTTTGAACACTGAATCCTGTTGTTAAGCAAAACATTGAAAACCACCATTCTAAGAAAGTTAACATCAAGTGGAATACTGAACTCATAATTTAAAAGAAGTCTGCATGTGGACTTGAAGTATTAATAGTCCATAGGGGCAAATTCAGCATTAGTTCTTGACATAGTCCAAATTCATGCTGTCTTGACTCTGCTAAGTTCTGAGACCTATTGTAGCCTAGATCTTTATTTCAACAAAGAACTTTCAATTGTATGTTTAGCCTGAGAGAATGAAATGTTATTTTGACATAGGGGATTATAAAGGTATGTATATTTAATCGTTTACATTGTTTGTATTAGGGACATGAAGGTTTTCAAATTTGTTTATGGAACGCCCTTTTCCTAAACATACTTCTTCCCGTCTTCTAAAGATAACACTGAAAAATATTTTCCTAATGTCTAGGCTAGCAATTACTAAATAATTTGAAAGTATCATAACTTTTCCACATGGAGTTTTTGTGAGTACACTAATGGCTTTGGATCTTCTGATGTTTTGTCATCAAACCTGGCTTCTGTGGATGCAGCTTTGTTCACCACCTGCTTGCTTACAAGAAGTGATAATGGGAAGTAGTAAGAGCTAAAGCCAGGAATCAGAAGGCCAGGGGTTTCCTTTCTGACTCTCTTGCTTACCATGATTCTGAGTAAGTTTCTTAACAACTCTGATTCCCAGGGACAAGGATATTGGGCTTGCTGACCTCACAGGCTCATTTTGAGTTTAAATGAATAATACTATGGGAAGGTGTTGTGGACAGAATGTGCCTACTCAAAATTTATAGAGTCATGTATGGTATAATAATATTTCAATGGACCTAATATATGATGGTGTTCCCATAATATTAAAATTCCGTATTTCACTCAACATTTTCTATATTTAGATACACAAACACTTATTAGTGTATTACAACTACCTATAGCATTCAGTACAGTAACATGCCATACAGGTTTGTAGCCTAGGAACAACAGGCTATGCCATATAGCCTAGGTGTGTAGTAGTTATGCCATCTAGGTTTGTATAAGTGCGCTCTATGATATTTGCACAACAACGTAATTGCCTAGCAATACATTTCTCAGAATAGATCCCTGTCATTAAGTGATGCATGACTGTATTGAAATATTAACCTTCAATGTGATGCTATTAGGAAATTGGGGCCTTAGGAGATAATTATGTCATGAAGGTAGAACCTTCATGAATGAGATTACTGCCTTATAAAGAAGAAACAAGAGAGATGCTTCCTCTCTGCCATGTGAAGATACAGCAAGGTGGTGGCTGTCCACAAGCCTGGAAGTGGGCCCTCGTCAGACACCAGATTAGCTGGCACCTTGATCTTAGACTTCTCAACCTTCTGAACTGTGAGAGATAAATGTTTGTTGTTTAAGTCACCCAGTCTACGGTATTTTTGTTGTAACAGACTGAACTAAGACAAACATCAAGAGCTATACAAATACATCTTTTCTTTTCTTCAAACATCAAGAGGTATACAAATACATGTGGTCATGTTACCTGAAGTCTACAATCCTCTGCATTTTTCACATGAAAATGACACCTGTTATCTAATGACATTTTGGTTTATCTTTCAGTATGTTGAGATTGTATCTTTAAAGGGAAACGAAACCATAAAAGTATAGTAGGACTTACCTTTTTTCATAATTTCTCTCTCTCTCTCTCTATATATATATATATATATATATCTATATATACATATATATATATGCACAGACACACACACAGATAAAACTTTTAAAGAAAGTATATTCTTGTATATTTGTAAATTCTATTTTTATTGTTCATAGCCATGCTACTACTGTTCTATACAGATTTGGCATTTATGCTTCAAGTCCATTGAATTTTATATTCTTTTTTTGTATTTAAAACAGAGGTGATTACAAAGGAAAATGTAGCAACAGTAATGCTCTATATTTCCTTTATCTTGTTCATGTCCATGAAGTAATTAGTACTAACAAAAAAGCATTAGTACTAACAAAAAAGCATATATTTTAAATTTGTAAATTACACATCTCATCAACCTTCAGTGTATTGAAACAGAAAGACATTATAAAGGTGAATGTAAAAATAGTAAAGCTATATCTTTTTTTTTTCCAAAAATAAATTTTAGAGTGTTTACGTAACTGAAAATAAATATTTTTATTTAGAAAATCCTTGAGTTTTCAAACCGAGTACAACTGAGCTGCCTTTGAGTCGTTTGTATCTGGAATATAGCATGCACTTCCCTTTCCCTTATTTTGTATAGTTGCCGAGGAAATGGGTTTTCAGTATACATGATTCAAGTGGTGGAAAAAACTGCATATTTAATTCCAAAATAGTCCTTAGACTGGAAAAAAAAATCTCTTTTGGAATAGTCATGTTTATTTTATAGTAACTCTACAGCAGAACAATTTAGTATGTTAATGCAGAAATACAAACAGCTTTATCAAACAAAATACTTACTATTTTCTAGCTGCCTTACAGAAATTATTTACTCAAGGAAACAGAATAGAATTTCTCAGTTTCATTAATCAGCTTTGTAAATATTTTGCCAGAGCTTTTTTTTCTTGGGGTGGGGGAAGCAAATAAGAAAGTTTAAAAGCTCATATGTGTCTGTTTTGTTTTAGCTTGGAGTATTTATTAAGAGTAAATTCTGTGTGTCTTTGCAGTTCATCAATATGTGTATTTAGAAGTTTTTCAAGTTCTTTTGCTCGTTTCTCTTCTTCTAGAAGGAAATGCTGTGCAGCTAAAGATGCTGGGAAGGACATATCTGGGGGAGACTAAAGAGAGAAAGAAAGAAAAGTGAATGAGGAATACAGAACTTTAAAAAGTCTTCATTGTTCCAGGCATGCTTCATCCCTGACATACTGTTAAACACTGCAGCTCTTAATGAAAGAATACATCTTGGGCCGAATTCCCACTACTAGTGTAATGCAGTCACCACTAATGAAATCCTCAAGAACTAAGGAAGACATCACAGCACCATTACATTCAAAAGCTCTAGAAATGAGTGTTATATTGTTCAATCGCAAATGCAGGGACAATGCATTCACCATGGAATCTGCCTAAAACATGCTGCAATCATTTGCAAAGCCAATGATTTTCATTTGAAAATAGGCAACTCCAAAAAGCTAAAGTAAAGATTATAGTGGAATTGCACAAAGAAGGTTCATATAGAAAAAAATAAAATAAGGATTGGTTTTGACAGGGCAAATCAATGCTTGGCATTAGCCAGGTGAGAGGGCTGGCTGCATAATGTGTCTCAGGGGTGGAGGTGGCTCCCCAGTAGGGAGCGCTGTGATGCTGGCATGTATCTTGTTTTTCCTATCATAGTGGAGAAACTATCAGTGATGAGTGCCCCAATTCCACCCTTCATGGTGACGTGAAAATGCTATTTAACTGTCTGTGACCTGTTTAGTGCTTTTTTACAACAAATAAAAATGTGTGGCTAAGGAATAAAGGACATCAGATGGTTTTACAATTCTTCATTTTAAAAAGCCACATACAAAAATTAAGTACTTTTTTTTTCATTGGGGGAAGTTTGTACTTTAATTTTCCAGTTCTGTGGTTACTATATTCTTTGATTTTCATTTTGGTAGGAAGAATGGAACTTTAGGGAGTCAACAGTCTGTATAAATGTGAACCTTGTTATAGGTGGATTTTGTTCACCAATCTGGCCTGGGCCAAAACTAGGGATCATGCAAATGATGGAGTACTGAACACTTTCCAACTAGTAGCCTCAACTGTAGCTGTTGTGTCAGGGACAGTATTTCGACTAGAGAAGACTATCACAGCCTGGGGTAGATGGTATGCTACTATTGATCTGGCAAATGCATTCTTTTTCTATCTAATAAAAGGGAGGATAGGAAGCAGTTAGCATTCACATGGGGTGGCCAACAATATACATCCATGGTTTTGCCCAATGTTATGTTCATGAAGCTGTCACAATAAGTTCTGAAGGGGCCTTGCCCATCTGGACATTCCAAAGACTATCACATGGAACATCATATATTAACACATCATGTTAATGAGACCTGATAAGCAGGAAGTAGCAAGTATGTTAAAGGCATGGAAAGATGCATGTACTCCAGAGAGTGAAAGATAAACCCTATAAAAGATAGGGGCTTAACACATTGTTTTTAGGTGTCCACTGCTATGGGGCATTCAGAACATCCTAGTAAAGCAAAAATTTATGTACTTTGAAAATGTTCCACCCCTGAATCAAATAATTGAATAATCTGACTCATTTATTTGGTGACACAGAGAAAATTTTTTTGAGCAAGCCCAGAACTCTGGAAAGAAAGAGCTGTGTAGTAGGTTCAGGACAGGGTACAAGCAGTCCTGCTACTTTGGTCAAATGACTTGGCAGATCCCATACTAGAAGAATCTCTGGTAGAGAGAAATGCCTTGCGGAGCCTCTGGCAAGTTTCAGTGGGAAAGTTGTGTTGCAGACCCTTAAGATTCTGGCACAAGTCTACGCCATCTGTAGCAGAAACCTGTATACTATTTGCAAGACAATTCCTATCATGCTGTTGAGTCTTGGTTGAGACACAGCATCTAGCAAGTGGACAGGATGATTTGATCCAGCCTCTGTCTTTGGCTACCCCAGTAGGAATTATGCATTGGCTCAATACCATGGTTTCCCCTTTAACCAAGGGTAATCCAGCTACTGTTGCTGTTAAATGTCTGACCTGCTTACAGTAGAAACCAAAGCTGAGCTCTTGATATGGCATCATCCTTCAGGGAGGCCAACCAGCCTCTTGGTGTCAGTTTGACTGCATTAGGTCCCTTGTACCTTGGAAAGGGCAATGCTGCATCCTTATCAGAATGGATATGCATTCTACGTGTTTGCCTTTCCTGCCTGCACCACTGTCTTAGGGCTCACAGAATCACTGATCTGCAGACATGAGATCTTGCTTAATAGCAAAGGTACCTACTTTATAGCGGAAGAGGATGGCAGTGGGACCATGACCATGGTATCTACTGGTCCTAACCACACACAGCACTATCCAGAGGATGCTAGCATGATAGAGCTCTTGATGGCACAGCTGAGGCACCAGCTTGGAGATTATATCCTGTGAGGTTGGGGTGCCTTTCTTCAGGATGTGGTATAGACTTTAAACCAATGGCTGTTTTATGGTGCTGTGTTTCCAATGGGTAGAATACATGGATCTGGGAATAAAAGGGAGGAAGTAGGAATGGCTCCACTCTCTATCACTTCTGTTAACCCACTTGGAGAATTTGTGCTTTCTGTTTATGTATCTTTAGGTTCTGTTGGTCTATAGGTCCTGGTTCTTAGAGGTGGAATTCTACCAAGAGACCTGTAAGAGTCCCACTAAACTTAGAGCTTTGGCTCCATGTGGTCACTTTGGGCACCTCCTGCCAACAGATCAGACACACAGAATGGAGTTCCTATACTGGCAGAGGTAGCTGACCCTAAGTCACCCTGAAGAGGTAAGAACACTACTGCATAACAGAGGCAGTGAGGAGTTGTTTAGTACTCAGATGATCCTCTGAGGCATCTTTTGGTACCCTCATGCCCAGTTTTAATTTTACTTGGCAAATACAGAAACCATATCCTAATAAGGGCATGGAAATTAGGGGCTCACCCCAAAAGAAAAGCCACCGGGATCAATAGAAGAGTTGGCTGATGGGGAGAGGAATCTAGAATGGGTGAGGCAATGATAGGCGTCAGGGACCAATTGCAGTATTAGGGGCTGTGGCTTATCTCACCAGCTTTCCTCTAATCAGTTTTCCCAGAAATTATTGCCCACAATAATTGTGAAAAGCTATACCTGGATGGAAGCTATGGAAGAATGTAGTTCTGAGTGGTTCAAGAGGTGGACCATGGTCGTTGGTCCCCTACCGGAATCCCCTTCCCCAGGCTGATGCATCTCTTCTCCAGCTGGATGGGTGTTGGCTACTAATAGCTCACAGCTGACTCCTTTGGAGAGCTGCCCTCCACTGAACTGGAGGCTCCTGCCTCACCTGGGAAGCTGCAGTCCTTGCTCTGCCCATTTGCTACCCTCTCTGAGGCAATAGCTGATTGATGGACACAGGGACATAAAATACCAGACTTCTTGTTTGGTGGGAACCAATGCTGTGGCGTAATTCATGTGGCAAGCTCCCTGGGACACCAGGTTATACTAGTTTGTAGCTGAGACAACATCTTTGCTTAGTTTCCTACCCTCCCCACCCCTGCCTCCTCCTCTCTCCTCCTGAGCATACTAAAATACTCCCTCAGTAACTTGCTTCCACAAGAATCTCATCTTAGGCTCTAGGAAACCTGATCTCAGACAGATGACTTCCTAGATTCTGGCCTGAGTGATTAGTGACACTCATGCCATTTACTGAGAAGGAGAAAAAGGTAAAATAAGCCATTAAAGTTCTTTTTTCCTTTAAAAAAATTTTTTGAGACAGTGTCTTGCTCTGTTGCCCAGGCTGGAGTGCAGTGGTACAACCACAGCTAACCTCTAACTCCTGGGCTCGAGTGATCCTCCTATGTCAGCCTCCTGAGTAGGTGGGACTATAGGCACACACCACCACACCTGGCTATTTTTTTTAAAAGTGTTTTTAGAAACAGAGCCTTGCTAGTTGCCCAGGCTGGCCTTGAACTTTTGGGCTCAAGGGATCCTCCTGCCTTGGCCTCTCAAAGTGCTGAGATTATAGATGTGAGTCACAGCTCCTGGCCTCTTATTTATTTCTGATTCATCAGATTCTAGCACAGATTCTGGGCCATTGTGTTTTCAATAAAAATTTTTGGTTAGTTTATGAATGAAGAAAATGCATTCCATTTTGAATAATACTGAGTTTGAGGTGACTTGAGACTTAAACAGGCTCCAGTAAACAGTGAGATATATCAATCTAGGACTCAAAAGACAGGACTGAATCAAAGAGATAGATTTGGAAGTTATAGATGACAAGGCCATAAGCTTGACTGAAATTATCCAACAGAGGCAAGTAAAAGAAAAAGAAGTTAAAAGATGGAGCCCTGGGGAATCCTTCATCTCAGGCATCCACCCACTAGCATGTCCTTGACACTATCATCAATGAGAACTGCATTATTTACTAATCGAGATTTAAAGCAACCTATCCATCATCCTTCCAGCTTGCTTAATCTAGTCCTCCCACACCAGCATTTCTTTGAGCCCAGACTCTTTCCTTTTCACTGTCCATTATCTTCCTCATACTCTCTCTTCCCTTCTAACTCTTTTTATTCCACATCCATCTTTATAACCATTCAACAACTTGTCGCTCCCTATATCTTGTCTCTATGCTCATTACCTGCTACAACCCTGTATCTTGTCTCTATCCTAATTACCTGATAAAACCCACCCCTAATTAAGCTGACCCATTTGCCTGGGTCATGTCTACACTGGAGTAGCTGAATGCTGGAGCCAACAGGTTGGGGGTAAATTGCTGCATGGACTAGTTTCACTTTAAATTTCATGACAATAAATATCAAGTGGTCAGTGAATACTGCTAGGTGATTCTATTCTACTTCCCTAGTATATTCACCTTCTTACTCATTACCTTGTGACCTGGCCTCCTAGGGGCCAGAGGGGAGCTCCCTCATTATTCTACAAACTTTTTCATCTAAAACTGAATTTTAGGCCATCCTCCTGTTCCAGAAACTCATCCTTCCTCCTATACTGTGGATCCTATTTCTTCTTACCTCTCAGTGACTTTGTTTCTGCAAACGGACGTGGACCCTCCTTACGCCCCATCCTCTTCATTATCAGACTTTCCCCCTTTCCTTGAGGATTCCCATTAGGGCACTAAATATTATGACCCAAGGCTTTGTAATGGGATAATTTCTTTTTTGTACTTAAGTATGTTCATCTAGTTCTATAGACTTAAATGCCAACCATATGCAGATTATTCCCATATTTATATTTCCAGCTTTGATCTCTTCCTTTAATATCAGATTCACATATCCTATTGCCTATTTAATGTCTACATTTGGGTGTCCAGTAAACATTTTAAACTTGTATGTCCAACCTAGAAATCGTGATTTCTCCTCTAACCCTATTTCTTCCTTAATCTTCCCATGTCAGAAAGTGGTATTAGCATCTACTCAGTGCTCAGGTTGAAATCCTGGGAGTCATCTTTGATCACTCTTTCTCCCACTTCCCATTGTCAAGTCTGGTCCACCCACCAGAATATTTCCTGGATCTAATATGTTGCTCTACCTCCCTTGCTACCAAGCCAGCATCATCTCTTGCCTAGACTACTGAAATAGCCTTAGAACAGTTGTCTCCACTTCTATCCTTGCCCCTCTAAAATTTATTCTTTACTTAGTAGTTAAAGTGATCTTTTGAAAAATTTAAACATATTTGTTTATTATTAAACAGAGTAATTTTAAATGGAGTAAACAGATCAGTATTTTCTTAATTAAAACTTAACAATGGCTTCCCATTGTTTTAAAATAAAATCCAAACTCCTTCCTGTGATCTGCTGTCCTTCTACTGGACTTCCCCTGACGACTTCTCTGTTCCCTTTTGTTCCAGTCTCCGTCTTCCCTTCTAAGCTCCAGAAGGCCCCCCAACCTTGCTGGTTCTCATACCTGCCAAACTCATTCCTGCCTTATAGTTCCCTTACTTGAAACTCTCTTCCACCAGATCTTTGCAAGGCTGGATTTGTTGTCATTTAGGTTTCACCTTAAATTTCCCTTTCTCAACGATAATTTTCTTGGCTACTCAACCTAAAATAATCCCCATACATACATCACTCCCTATCACATTACCTGCTTTGCTTTTCATCGCAGCATTTATTACTATTTTTGTTTTGTTTTGTTTTGTTTTGTTTTTTTGAGACAGTGTTTTGCTCTGTTGCCTGGGCTGGAGTGTTTTGATGCTATCTTGGCTCACTGCAACTTCTGCTTCCCGGGTTCAAGTGATTCTCTTGCCTCAGCTTCCTGAGTAGGTGGGATTATAGGTATGCGCCACCATGCCCAGCCAATTTTTGTATTTTTAGTAGAGACGGGGCTTCACCATCTTGGCCAGGCTGGCCTCGAACTCCTGACCTCAGATAATCTGCCCACCTTGGCTTCCCAAAGTGCTGGGATTATAGGTGTGAACCACCATGACTGGCTTTAATATTTTCTTATTTGTTCATTTATTTCCAATCATTAATGTTTCTCCTTGTTTGTTTTTGAGATAAAATTGACATAAAAGAAAATTAACCATTTTAAAATGAACAGTTCAATGGTGTTTAGTGCATTCACAATGTTTTGCAACCACCATCTCTATCTAGTTCCAAAATAGTTTCATTATCCATAATGAAACTCTGTACCCCTTAAGCCACTTTTCCTTGTTTCTTCCTCCCCATTACCCCTGGTAACCACTAATCTGCATTGTTTCTATGGATTTCATTTACCTATTCTGGCGATTTCATATAAATAGAATCATATAATATATGGCCTTTTGTGTCTGGCTTCTTCCACGTAGCATGTTTTTGAGGTTCATCTGCACTGTTGTATTTTTTTTGGCCTTTTTTGGGGCACAGTTGCTTTTTATGGCTGATAAATATTCCATTGTATGTATCTATCACAATCTGATTATCCATTCATCCACTGACAAAGTTCCTCTTTTTTTTCACCATACTATATACATGTCTCTCTTATTTGAAGACATGTTTAGAACAGGAGTTGCCATACAGTTGGTGTTCAATACATGTTTATTTTATGAATGAAGAACACTAATATTTAAGGGACAGAAATAGGAGGGAGAACCCTGGAAACAGACTGGGAAATAGTAGCCAGAGGGTGGCAGAAGAATCAGTGGAGAATAGTGTCATAGAAGCCAGAGAGCATAAGAGTTTCAAGACAAAAAGATTCAGAAAGAGGAATATTTCAAAATGTGCATTTAATTAGCAACTAGAAGATCAGTAGTGGTTTTGAAAGGAATGGTACTGATGTGGATGTCAAAATGTAGTTGTGGATGGAAATCACTAGACCTAGAAAAGTGGATTGCCATAGAATTTTTAAGGCCTCCATCACAGATTAAGTTCCCCATGCCCAGTTGCTAGAAGAGTTGAGAATTTTCTTTCCTGGTTACTCTGGAGGTTAGGAATTCTTCAAAAGAATAACATAGAATTTTAGAGGTAGGATGCCACATGTTATTAAATTAAATCAACAGATACCTCTCTGTGTCTTTTTATGTGCCTACTAGTGCTGACACTATTTTAGGTGTTGGGTTAGCACGAAAACAACCCCTGCTTTCACTGGAGCATACATTCTAAAGGAGGGAGGCCAAACAACAAAACGTCTCAGAGTGAAGTGCCATGAAAAAAGGCAAGATGAGGGGCAGGGAGTGAAGAGGAGGGTGCAATTGCAGACTGGTTGCTTAGGCATCTCTGATAAGGTGATATTTGAGCTGACACTAATTGTGATCCTAAAAATCCTAAAACCATGTGATATTAGCACAATTGAGTTTTTTGTAACTTTTTCTACTGCTTAACTGAAATGTGTGCTTACTTTAACTCCTTAATGATCAAAGTTTTATTGATGCAGAATTTGCAAAGTCCCCTTAGGATTTCTCATAGCTTAAATGAGGAATTTTATTTCGTTTACATTATTGGTGTGGATTTTAGTCTGTGCAAATAACGTTGGCATTTTATGTTGAGATGATCACAAAAGAGCATTTCAGGGCTTTAGAGATCTCTAAAACTTTAAAAGTTAGTATTTTTAAGCATTCTTCCACCACAATAGCTTAACTATTACTTCCAGTTTCTATTATTACAAGGCTAAACCAACATATAAGCAACAAAGGGCTTATATCAAGAATAGAAAGAATACCCATAAATCAATAACAATAAAGATAAACTAACAGAAAATTAAGTGAGGAAATTGAACAGATATTTTAGAAAGGATATCAAAATGGCCAATAAACATATGAATGGTGCTTAAGCTCATTATTCACCAGAGAAACATGAGTTAAAACCACGTAATAGGACCTTAGTACACACTGACCATAATGGGTAAATTTAAAAAGACTTGGACTATAGAGCAAGGACAACTCTTATACACTACTTGTTGGAGTATTCATTGGCTCATCCAGGAAAACAGTTTGGCAGTACCTACTAAAGCTGACCATATTCATATCCCATGACCTAGGTATTCCATTTTAGGTATATATGTGTATATACCTAATATATATATGTATATATACACCTAAAATGGAATACCTAGTATATATGGATATATACCTAATCTATATATGTATATATATACCTAAAATGGAATACCTAGGTCATAGGATGTGTATACACATGCACCAAAACACTCATACAATAGTTTTGGCAGCATTATTTGTAATAGTCCCAAACTGGAAATGACTCAAATGTCCATCAGTAGAATGAATAAATGAATTTTATTGTCATTGAATGTAGTATTTATATCCAATAAATGACTATAGAGAAACAAAAATTAAAAAAAAAACACTATAGCTGTATGGAACAATATGGATGATGATGAATCTAAAAAAACAATGTTGAGAAAAAGAAGCCAGAAATAAAATAACATATATCATTTATATAAAATTTGCAAGTTGGCAAAATGAATTGATAATACTAAAAGTCAGGATAGCGGTTATGTTGGGAGCAAGCAGAAGTAGAGACTAGAAGGGAACACTAGTGGGGCTTCTGGAGTGCTGAGGATGTTCTGTTCATTACTTGGGTGGTACTTACATTCCCTTTGTGATAACTCATCAAGCTGTCCATTTATGATTTGTGTATGTGTCTGCACATATGGCAAAGTCAATAGAAAAGAGGTTTTAAACCAGTCCAAAAGATCACTGTAGCTCTTTACAATATACAGATCCTTGAGGACTCATGGAATATCCAAGGGTGCATCCCAAGCACATGCATTAAAAAAAATCCCTACTAATTCTGGCCTGTATTAGAGGTTAATAACCATTAACAGAAATAGTTTATGAAACATAATCTATATCTTTTCCTCCTATAGATAGGTATGGCCAAATGATTCGCAGACCCAACTTGGAGTCCTATTCAAGGAGTGAGATTAAAAACAAACAAACTACTAAGTACATCAGTGTACTGACATCAGTTTAAGAGTAAAGCAATAACCCATTAAAGAAAAAAAAGGCTACAACTAGTAACTCACCAGTGGGAATACTTCATCGTCACTAATCAAAGGACTTGTCATTTCTTTGATTTGTAATGTCAAAGGTGGCAAGGGAGGTGTTGTACTTGTATTTGGCTCACAATCTTGACTAAGTCTAAAAGAGAAGAAATGGTTGTTGTTGCTACCAAGGACACATGTTTATTTGTGTAGCTAAGGATTTTAATTTCTCAGATGTCTGACTGGGGGAAAACACAACAAAGTGTTTGGGCTTGTTACCTGGGCATTTCTTTGAATATGACTTTCCTGATGAATAATTTCTATTTCATTTAAAGGACTTAGAATGATTAAAAATGAAGAAGAAAACTTAATAATTGTTAAAAATATTTTGCAATCCTTATTGCCTATATTGATTCCCTTTCTGTATTATACTTTTGTATATTTTTGTCATTTATTTAAATAACATAAAGCAGTTTGAGAAAAATCTCCAAACCACTAACACTGCTGTCCTACACAGTTCTAAATAGATACTCTTTTTCTGTTCTCTTTTACACTTAACCTCACTGGCTTTCTTAACAGAATTATACTATTTTTTTATGTGAAACAAGTCTTTGAATAACTCTCGTTTCTATAGATTTTGATAATTTATAACGTGCTTTCAATTTACATCATCTCCTAAGCTCCTTCAGTTACTAGTTATGTGACCTTGAGCAGGTAAATTTATCTCTCTGTGACTTTAATTTTCTCATTTAAAAAAGTGATGTTATGAGAGTTGAATGATTAATATATGTAAAACACTTAGAAAACAATGCCTGGCACATAGTAAATGTTTAGTAAAGATTAGGTATTTTTTTTAAACTAATTTGATCTTCAAAATAACCCTAATATGGTAGATACTATCCACAGATGAGGAGCCTAAGGTTTAAAAATTCAATTATTCATCTAATTGTTTACTTTTTAAATCAGAATAAATTGGTAGGAAGTAATGTCTTTAGATTTTGGACACAGAGCCAGATTTTCTTGACTTAAAAACCCTAGTATTTCAATGAAAGTCATATAAGCGTGGAATTTGTTTGTGCTAAAATGAGACTGAAAAAAATAACATTGAGATTTTGAATTTTGGTTTGTTGACTAAGCAAATGGATAATAAAACAAATAACAAACCAATTTATCCTACAGTTTTACAAAAAGGGTCCTAATGATATGGGCTGTTTGGGATTAAATAAATATCTTTCATGAAACTGGGGTTTAGCTGTAATAAAATTATCAAAGACCATCAAAACTAAAATCCCATCAAAACAAAAAATAATAAACAAAATATTTTATTTTTACTAATGTTTCAAATTCTCCACAGGTATTGATTAACCATTTTCAAAGCCTTCATAGTTTAATTTAACAGAGTTAAAAAAATTTCACATTATTTTTCTCTGGTCTTATCCAAAGACTATCTAATTTATATAGACTTGTTTCATATCATGTAAACATTTTCAAAGTTATGCATACAAATAGCAATAAAAGTTAAGTGAGGCATCTGTAAATTAGTACACAAAAACAAACACAACATGTTTTCCATTTTTGCTTATCTTGAAATATATCTTTTTTTTTTTTAACCCATTTTCCCAAACTATAATTACCATGGAAACAGAACAGCAAATTAAACTGAAATAACATGGTTTATGATGTGCACAATAAGACGAAACATCTCACAATTCAAGTAGAATTATAACATTTGCATAGTACATCTGCATATAATCTTTAGCTGAACCTTCTGAGTGAGGTTACTGTCTATACTTCAAAGCACAGTGAAAAAAAAAGATAGTAGTGATTCAAGAAATATATATCTCTCTGTTTTCTCTTTCACAGAGATTTCAGGCAAAGTATTTTTTGTGCTAAATTAATCTAAAATCTTAATTATCCATTTTGTTTTGGATGTACAGATACAGTGTTATGGTGTTAATACTAACATATAGGAACATTCTTTTTGTTGAAAGATCAATAAAATGTAGAGATTGAAAGGAAAGATGACATTATGAAGTACTTTTGTTTTAAATCATTTTTATATCTGACAAGCTCTTCTTCAAGAATACAGCTAGTCAAATACTTCATAAAATCACCTTGCATAAAGTGCTATGCATATCAATTTAAAAGCTATCTTAAAAATGATTTCAAAAGGCTTTTAATATCCTCTCACAAGCTGATCTGTTCAATTATCTTTTCCACAGGCCTATTCCAAGGCTGCTGTGTGGTTTCGCCAGGACAGCAGGCCTCATTTGCTTTGCTGTGAAGCAGAACTCGGTCCATTTGAGACCTGAGTCAACTCTTCAAAATTTTCAGGATTGTTGGACATGTACATCCAGTCCGTCCCTCCACTAATATTCCCCTTGGCTGAAGAGTAATGTCCTTAGCATGGAGCAAGATTCCTTCACAAACTATGCTAATTTACCTTTTTCTAGCCTTACCTTCCAGCACTCCACTAAACTCCCTATTCCATGAACTCATTGTTTCCTGGTCTAGAACTATCAGCCTATGTTTTGCTCCTTTGTTGAGCAAAACCACGGTACAAACATTCTCAACTTACTTTAGGCTTCCAGATGGCTATTCATTCCTTGCCAAGAGATCTTGTGAGTGGTTATTGCAAACCTGCTGACTGTGGTTTTTTACTATTAGAAACTCTTAATTTATTAGCTAGACTTGAAGCCATTTTAATGATTATTTCTGACTACTAAAATCTGTCTAGTATAGGATACAACTCTTAAAACCATAAATTCATTTTTAAGTATGTGTCTTATATAGAGATAAAAGTCCATTTATTATGAAATTGATTTGTTATTAAAATTAGTTACATATTAATAGCTCTGGATACCACTACTTCAAATTAGCTTATAAATTATCCTGAAAATTCAAAACTCGAACTTTTAAAAACAATATTTAAAACATCCACACCAATTCAATCACCTCTCTTTCATTATATATATATATATATATATATGATTGCGTTTTAGGTTTTGGGGTACATGTGAAGAGCATGCAAGATTGTTGCATAGGTACATACATGGCAATGTGGTTTGCTGCCTTCCTCCCAATCACCTGTATCTGGTATTTCTCCCCATGTTATCCCTGCCCAACTCCCCACCCCCCACAGCCCCTCTCCTACTTCCCCCCAACAGACCCCTGTGTGATGCTCCCCTCCCTGTGTCCATGTGTTCTCATTGTTCAACACCCACCTATGAGTGAGAACATGCAGTGTTTGATTTTCTGTTCTTGTGTCACTTTGCTGAGAATGATGGTTTCCAGGTTCATCCATGTCCCTACAAAGGACACAAACTCATCCTTTTTTATGGCTACATAATATTCCATGGTGTGCATGTGCCACATTTTCCCTGTCCAGTTGATCATCAATGGACATTTGGGTTGGTTCCAAGTCTTTGCTGTTGTAAACAGTGCTGCAATGAACATTCATGTGCATGTGTCCTTATAGTAGAACGATTTATAATTCTTTGGATATATACCCAGTAATGGGATTGCTGGGTCAAATGGAGTTGCTATTTCTAGGTCCTTGAGGAATCGCCACACTGTCTTCCACAATGGTTGAACTAATTTACACTCCCACCAACAGTGTAAAAGTGTTCCTATTTCTCCACATCCTCTCCAGCATCTGTCATCTCCAGATATTTTAATGATCGGCATTCTAACTGGCATGAGATCATATCTCAATGTAATTTTGATTTGCATTTCTCTAATGACAAGTGATGATAAGCATTTTTTCATATGTTTGTTGGCCTCATATATGTCTTATTTTGTAAAGTGTCTGTGCATTTCCTTCACCCACTTTTGAATGGTTTTTTTTTTTTTTTTTTTTTTTTTTTTTTTTCCTGTAAATCTGTTTTAGTTCTTTGTAGATTCTGGATATTGGCCCTTTGTCAGATGGGTAGAAAAAAAATTTTTTCCCATTCTGTTGGTTGCTGATTCACTCTAATTATTGTTTCTTTTGCTGTGCAGAAGCTCTGGAGTTTAATTAGGTCCCATTTGTCTGTTTTGGCTTTTGTTGCCAATGCTTTTGGTGTTTTAGTCATGAAGTCCTTGCCTATGCCTATGTCCTGAATGGGTTTGCCTAGAATTTCTTCTAGGGTTTTTATGGTGTTGGGTCTTATGTTTAAGTCTTTAATCCATCTGGAGTTAATTTTAGTGTAAGGTGTCTGGAAGGGGTCCAGTTTCTGCTTTCTGCAAATGGCTAGCCAGTTTTGCCAACACCATTTATTAAACAGGGAATCCTTTCCCCATTGCTTGTTTTTGTGACATTTGTAAAAGATCAGATGGTTGTAGATGTGTGTCATTGCCTCCGAGACCTCTGTTCTGTTCCATTGGTCTACATCTCTGTTTTGGTACCAGTTCCATGCTGTTTTGATTACTGTAGGCTTGTAGTATAGTTTGAAGTCAGGTAGTGTGATGCCTCCAGCTTTGTTCTTTTTGCTTAGAATTGACTTGGCTATGTGGGCTCTCTTTTGGTTCCATATGAAGTTTAAGATCGTTTTTTCCAGTTCTGTGAAGAAGGTCATTGGTAGTTGATGGGGATAGCACTGAATCTATAAATTACTTCAGGCAGTATGGCCATTTTCCCAACATCGTTTCTTCCTAACCATGAGCATGGAAGGTTTCTCCATCTGTTTGTGTCCTCTCTCATTTGGTTGAGCAGTGGTTTGTAGTTCTCCTCAAAGAGGTCCTTCACGTCCTTTTTTAGTTGTATTCCTAGGTGTTTTATTCTCTTTGTAGAAATTGTGAATGGGAGTTCACTCATGACTTGGCTCTCTGTCTGTTATTGGTGTATAGGAATGCCTGTGATTTCTGCACACTGATTTTGTATTCTGAGACTGCTCAACTTACTTATCATTTTAAGGAGATTTTGGGCTGAGATGATGGAGTCTTCTAAATATACAATCATGTCATCTGCAAATAAGAGACAATTTAACTTCCTCTTTTCCTAATTGAATACTCTTTATTTCTTTTTCTTGCCTAAATGCCCTGGCTAGAACTTTGAATACTATGTTGAATAGGAATGGTGAGAGAGGGCACCCTTGTCTAGTGCCAATTTTCAAAAGAAATGCTTCCAGTTTTTGTCCATTCAGTATGATATTGGCTGTAGGTTTGTCATAAATAGCT